TATATATATATATATAATTAGACACTCCATCCAACTCAATTCCAAACATATGATACATATATTGAAAGAAAAAGTAAAAAATTCGTATACGTAAACATTAAACATAGATACCAAAATTAGTTTGGATTTTCAATCTTGGGCCAAAAACAGATCCAAGATTGAACGATTTCTTGTAAAATTCGAAATATTCATATTCAGACATCGGATATCAAACAGAGAGACAGACAGATGATTTTGTTGCAACATTACCGGACCTGTGGATTTGCCGCTTTGAAGAAGAAAAATTCATGTGACCGACCCCAAATAAGCTCGAGAGCAAGGTGTTGTTGTTGTATTACCGAACCGGGAGGATGTAAAGGAATCAGGGGAGGATCTTGCGGCGGCGACGTGGGGTTTCACGCTTAACGTACATCTTCTCTACTTCATTGAGAGGCCGGCTCGATCCGTCGGGAAGGCTCACGAATTTCCAGCCACCTCCGTTCCCTCGTTTTCCACGTGGACCCATTTTCTCCACCATTATCTTCCATCCATCCGCTTTCCGTCTTCTGCTGTACTTATGGCACTTCACCTCTCCTCTCCACTGCTCACACCAAATAACCATCTCATTATTTAGCCATTGCTCCATCACATGAATAAGCTTTACTTAGAACAGTTGGCATACGGAGTGGGCAATATCTCAAACTCAATAAAACAAATGTAGGATGAATGACTATGTTAATGCTCATTTACGGGGAACACGAAAAAAGAGACTTACTTTCATTTTATTGAACTCGAACCTCTGGACGAATTCCTCATAAAGCATGTCATCCTCTTTCTTCGAAATCTCATAGTGGACTTCGTCCATATCTTTGATGGTACCGTCCCACCCCTCCGGCATCACTTTGAAGTCGGGTTTGTAAGGAAGTGATGCCACATGAAATTCTCTGTCATGTGAAATGAAGAACCTGCATTGGGTATATAAAAAAAATTAGATTTTGAGGAAGAAGTTCAGAAACTTATTCTAATCAGTACCTTGTCTTTCATTACTAATACTAGCAGAGTAACCATCCTATTTTATAAGATACTAAAGGAAACCATTTGGTCACACATTCTCGAGTGTAATTGAAGGAATAATATTTCCACACACATAGCCCAAAGGCAGCTCTTAAAAGCTCAGAAGAATTTACAAGAATGTCATCTAACTGAGTTCTAACCAAAGTGTACAACTACCAAAAAAAAAAAAAAAAAAAACTGAAAATGCACTCATAAGCATGGAACAAATGAGTAACTATAAGTAAAAACCAAAATAATTATGCAAATGGAGATCATTTCTTAGAACTTCTAGGCATGCAAGGAAATAAATAAGATACCTAAGAACTCATCCCATCTTATAGGGTAAAATGGAAGCGAAGCGGATAAACCCATCGCAAGCAAAGTAGTAAACCACTCAATTTATCAGGATTCAAATTCTATAAGACAGTCAGAACTCAGAAGAATATATAGGAAGAGTTCATAACGATAAGGAAAAAGAATAGGTTGAGCTCTTACTCAGGGCACTCGTCAAGCAAACGCTCAACAGAATCATCCAAGGGTCCACCGAGTTTTTTTTCCTCTTCTTCTTCATCTTGCTTCAGCCAAAGAATGGCATGAACACGTTGCCTCATGATCCTGTAATCCTTGGCAAGCCTCTCAACAGTGTAGACCTCAGGGTTCTCTTTGTGCAATCTGTACATCTCCGCCTTTTCCGAATCTTTGAGGTAAGTGCCCCTCGCACCAGGCTCCCGCACTTGCTTCAGCAACACACTCATCTCACGCATTCTCTCACCCCACCCATCCATAAAAACCTTGCTTCTCCTGTTCTCCTGTTCCATCTCCTTCACCAAATCCTCGTATTCTTGCAATTCATTAACTAGCGCAACTTGATTCGGGTCCAATCCACTAAGAGAACTGCCCGAATCAGAAGCAGATGGGTTCGTCTGACGTCCCACGGCCTGACCGTCGAAATGGTCCTTGGTCATACCAGCTGACCACATTGAAGTATTGTCCCAACTAAGGTTATCAGAACCAGTCGAACCAAACGATCCTCCCACCGCATTACCCCATCCATCATCGCCACCAAATCCACCAGACCCTGATTTACCTGAAAATGCTCGGCTTCCATTAACCTGACTAACATCACACAACACTTTCGACGAAACCGGGCTCTTCTCCTTCAGAAGCCCCCATGCTCTTGTGCTTGGGTTAACCGAAAAAGAGGATAGTCGCGAAATGACCCTTTGAACGCTATGCATAACTAATGCTTCTCCACAATTGAAAATTGAACAACTCTTTGACAACTTGCTACAGACACTGAATCCAAAAAGCAAATGGAAAGAGAACAAAGATTTAGCTAAAAGGGAGAAAAATTTCTAACCCTAATGCATAGCTGAAGAGAAATAGATGGTGGAACAGAAGAAGGGAAAGATCCAATCACTCATCGAGAAACAGTGCAGCGAAATAACAGTGGAAAAGATGACATTTCAATGTAAGAGAAGGGAAAAGAATATGAATCTGGAACTTGGGAGAGAGCTGACCAATCTCTCCTCAATTCGAATCTGCGAAGAGAGAGAGAGACTATTGCATGATCATTGCACCATAACTTTTCAACTCGAACGTGCTATGGACTCGGTCACTTGATCGTGAAGATCCGAAAAGAAAAGGCAACACCTTTGATTTTCCTGTTGATCCAAACGTCAACCAGCATTCAGCCACCAATGATTAAAACGAGAACATGATGGCGTTGATCTCGGCACACACTAAACAATGCAAAACCCATTAGAACCATTTGCAACAAAATATGGTAAGGAGTAAGGATACTGTCCTAGAAAGCTGCTTGTCAAGTTATTACTCCACACACATTCTATGAAATCCTCTCTGGCCAATTAAATAGGGGACTTGATTTACTAATTATTCTTTGTTCATAATCATTGCATCATCACTTTCTCAATATATATATATATATATATATACGTACTAGCTAATTCGAGTAGCAAAGACTGAATTCAAATGAAGTACATAGCAAAGCAATGAATATTAATGAAATCAGCGAACAGAACGAAAGCGGAAACCCGCAAATACACAAAATCGACGACAGATCGAAACGGCGAAGACCGACAAACACAATGAAATCGAAATAAAAACCCCACAAAATCATCGACACACAGAAATGACGAAGAATCATCGAGAGAGTCGGACCTGGAGGTGAGGATCGGCGAAGCGGTGAGAGCCGACGATGGCGAGACGACGACGGAGGACCGAAACGGCAAGACCTTGCTCGCGTGGGGGGAAGCAGCGCGGGTATGAAGCCCTAGGCTTATCTGTAATTTAATTAAACCGTAGGGATATAAATGTAAATATATTAATTACCTGTCTCGGATTTTATTATTCGAACCGAACTTTTGGTTCCATCGAGCTCAAACAAAACCCGATCTTATGTGTCCGGATTCTTTTGCCCAATCCTGATATAATTCACACGTGTATAACATATACATACATATACTATACATATATATATATATGTATATATACGATATATATATTTATACGACGGATTAGAGAATTTGGACCTTATTAATAAAAGTCAGCTCATTCAGTTGTCTTTGGTTCCAAAACAACGAAAAAATGTTATAATTTTTTGTTTATCAAATCAATTCTAAAGTATTTTTATTTGATTTATAAATTATCATATTATTACTCAATATATCCTTATTCGGTAACGACGATACACTGATATATCATTAACGGATTTAATAAAATATTTTAAATTAATTAAAAAATAATAAATAAAATAAATAAATAAAAAATATGTACAAATTTTTATACATGTATATACATATATATTTACATATACATATATATTATAAATATATATATACGCATGTATATATATAAAGATTTGTATATTTTTTAAAATTTTAAATTATTTATTATTATTATTTTCTAATATTTTTAATTATTTTTAATTAATTTTTAAATATTTTATTATTAATGATGTGACATATTAATTTAACGTGGATATGATTCGATAAATCCGTTAATCATATGTTAATACGTTATTATTACATTATAGAATAAAGATATATTGACTAATAATTTGAAAATATGATAATTTATGGATTAACTAAAAATAATTTAAAATTTATTTGGTAAGTAAAAAAGTATAACATTTTTTCGTTTAGCTGAAAAAATATAGATTTTTTTGACAATTCTTCCTAATAAAAATCAATATATTGTTCCTTTTTTTCTAATTTGATTTTTTTAATAAAAATGCGGGATTTATTTTTTTATTTGTTAGAAATTTTCTATTTGTTTTTTCTAAGAGGGGACGCGCTCATAAGAAATGGCGGGAAAACGAGCATGGCAGCAGAGACGCTAAAACCCCCAAAAAGTCTACAGCGTTCCCAAATCTCTTCCAATGGATTCCGATTCAGATTCCGACGGCTCTCACGTCTCCGCCACTCCTCCACGAGACCCTCAGCCTCCGACCGCACCGGTGCCGGCCGCCTCCCGGAGAATCACATCATCATCCTCTCGCTCGAAGCCCAAATCTCCGCCGCCGTCTCTCCCGTCTCCGTTCTCTTCCGA